AGCATCCCGTAGGTGAAAGAATATTTAAAATCAGTCTAGTAGTTCCGGGGCCTTTTCGATGCAAACAAACAAACAAATTTATCAATTTATAATTCTTTCATATTTATCATTTTAGTATAAACTATAAAAAATATCTAAACAAGGAAAAAATTAACATTAATAATAAAGGAGGAAGGTGGATTACAAATTTGAGAAACTTCAAATGAGGTTAATTATTAAAAAAATAATTAAATTTAATTATAACGAAGCTTAAAATCGCTACTCAAACTAAAAGTTATTTTATTGGATTTGTTCAAAGCGTTTTAACGCAAAACCGGTAATTAATTAAAAGTTGATTAATTTATTTTTTAATTTTAGTTACAAAAAGGAATTATCATAACAAGAAATGTTAAAATTGAGAATATTAAGAGTAATTTTATTTATTAAAATTATCATTATTTTATTTGTGGAAAGAATGTCGGTTGAAAGAATGATAAAACAGATGTACAACATAAAAGTGGAAGGATGTAGACGCCAACAATTTCGAACGAAGCCAAGAAGCTATTGATTCGATCGTGAAAGGTTACGACACACCTTTCACGATCAAATCAATCGCGTGCTGTTGAAGGTGATGAAAACTGCCATAAAAACTGGCGAGTATGTATGAAAAGAGTAATGAAAGTGGATGAGGTGAAAGATATATGTAAGGAACGTGCTTGGTGGCGTTCGGTCCTCTCTGCTTACCCCGCCAGGGATATGACCTGAATTATTTAATTCACATTTTGGCTGTGATAGTACCTTTAGACTAGAATGTATTATAGTTTCCACGTTCTTAATTACAGCTTATTTGGACATAAACCACTGTTATCCATATTAAACACTGTTTGTTTGGGTGTGAAGTATATTGTTTTGATTCCATTCATAACAAAGGCCTGAGCCCCAGCAGTGGGGAAATCAATGGGCTGGTGATGATGGATGATGACACTAGCAGTTAGTAGTCATAGGTTATATTTTTCAAATAATAAGACGGCACTAAGATCTCTGTGTCAGTTCGTAATAAATAAATAAAAAAGAATGTAGAATGAAAAAAGAATGTAGACTCTTTCTATTGCCATTATTGTGCGCACGGCTGCACGTTACGCTAAACACCACCACCGTAACCAGACCTTTGTTAGTAGGGATGTTCTATACGAAGCACGGTCGGTAAAAAGTCGACAATGTATAGTCTGACGTGCAGTCGTGTGTATATTTCTATGAAAATCCAAAGATTTCCTGTTCGTCATTATAAAAATAATTTGTCTTCGTATAGAAATTTGCTTATAATGTCGACTTTTGGCTTCCGCCTATAAAAACAGCAAATATTAGAACTGATACTTTGTGTTGTATTTGTCAATCAAAAGTAACAAATGTTCTTTATGAAGTATCGGGTTTTTTATTTCTAAGCTTCCGGGACTTCCGGTCAGCAGTCGGTCCGGTTGGGTGAATTCTAATGAGGGGGAGATCCACGATAAGGGTACTGCCTAAGTGGATCCTCCCAACTGGACTGGTAGACACTGTAAATGCACAGTTGCGTATTTTAAATGCACAGTCTCTAGTCGGGTGCAGTTCGGCCAGTTTGCGTGCTAACCGGGCATTACACGCCCTCGCCCTGTTTGGGGGGTCTGCGTCTCAAATGTTTTTGAGATAGACTCCAACCGGCAGAAGGACATGTCCCTTTTCAGGGCCCGCCGAAATGGGGGCGAACGGCGTGAGAAGTAGCCTTCGGGCTGTACCTGTATCGCCTTCATAGAGAGGCACATCGCTGTGTTTTAGTGGGTAAACCCCTGCTTTTTGAAGGTGGATCCGCAGGGGCAGTCCAACATAACCCGCTGAAAAAACAGGGTGAATCCTCCTCATCTTGGGGAGCACTCGCTTATGTCGTTCCCCAGGCGGCGTTATTTCCCTTTTTCTTTTCAATTTTAATTAACTTAATTACGTTCAAACTTCGCTGTTCGTTTCATCTGTATGTCGACGATTTACAGTTATATGCCCAGAAAAACGTCGAAGGGATGAAAAATGCTATTGTTGCTCTAAATAGGGATCTTGATGAAATACTAGTGTGGTCTAAAATTTCGGCATTAATCTAAATATGGTTAAATGTCAAGCTATACTTGTTGGCGGCCGCGTAATGATGAGTGGGGCCGACAGCACTAATTTCCGTTCTATCCTGTATGATGGCTCCTTGATACCATTTAGCGCTAATGTTAAAGACTTTGGACTTCACGTTGATCGTAATCTGAACTGGCACACTCCAACGACTACTATTTATAAAAAGATACTGGAGTGTTTCGTGCGCTGTATTGTTTTAAGAACTTTCTACTTAGTAAAATCAAGTCAATGCTTGTTGCGCGATTTCATATAAAATAAGGCAGAATCATAAAAATTGTTATCTCATATCTAGTAATATCTAAGTTCAATAATCATTCAAGTATGTATTTTTAATTATATTTATATGTATTATATATATTATATATATATCTATTTCTCTTTTTTTTTCAACGACTACATATGCACCCCATTATCGCTTTATCGTTAATTTTAATTTCCACATCAACTAAAGGTCGACTGGCAGAGAATGCCTAAGGCATTAAGTCCGCTTTTGAACGATTATGCTTAAAGAATTAAATAAATAAGTTAAATCAGTTATTTGCACAGCAAATATTGGTTCCTGTTGTAAAAAAAGGTTTGATATAATTGTGGTTATAAAACTCGTATCTGTAGTCGAGTAGAAGTAATAACTGAAGCAATAGACGACGAACAGAATTTGAATGAATTAAAAAATGTAAATAGCTAATAATAATAGTATTCTAACTTTTCAGAGTTCTTGCTTCCTTCAAATCCTTGTTAATTTGTTAAAATTTGTTGGAGTTATGACTTTTATCTAATTGTAAGTAATTTCTTTTACTCCACTTACACATTAATACAAGTTTATAAATTAGACAATAGGATTAATTAAATTATTAATTATTTATGATTAATTAAACAATAGGAGATGATTCTGTAATTAGTCTGATACAAATACGAGAAAAACGGAAATAATTCGATATAAGCCTGGAATATTTTTAGTCGAGTTTGAGAGCCAATTACAAGAGACTATATTTAAGAATCCATCTCATTTTAGTATAAAAAAACATCAAGTCAAAAAGCCTTCATTTCCTTCACGCAAAATTACTAACACGACTTTTTTCACAAATTTTGTTTTTATTTATCATAGCGACAGTGAAAATTATTGAAATCCAACTGAAAAATTTACAGGTAATAGTTTTTTTTAACTTTTTTTTTTAGTAGTTTAATATGATAAAACTTTTATTTAAAGTATTTCTGAGTGAATTTTAATGATTTTTAGTAGTGTTTAACTCAAAAGTCTGCTGCATATATTGCGTGTTATATTTTTGCTTCATAAATAATTATAAGGCTATTGGTATGCAATATCCCTTTGGAAATTTTCATTGGATTCAAAACAAAATATACTTAACGCAATATAATAATATCGATTGAAGTCGTATTTCATTGTTAATATTATTGATTTTTTTACAAATATTTTTAAAATATTTATTGTCCGTGTTACATAAAAATATGAGTTTCCAAATATAATATTAGGAAGATTGATGTATTTCATGGAAGTAACATAAGTAACAGCGTGAAAATACGTAGAAGTCACTTTATATGTATTTTGCTTATCATGCCATTGAGAAATTAAAGGAATTTAATTTTTTTTACTAATAATCCGAAAGAAAATGTAGTTGGATTAATTCATATATTAAAAAGGAAATATAACATATATAAAAAAATACCAAAATACAAAAATATAAATAAATATATAAAAATATAAAAAATACCCTCATAATAAAAAAAAGACAGCTGTTATGTTTTAATGTTTGATCTCCATACTGAAAATTGGTATTTGTATCAGGCTTAATTATCTTGTTAGTTCTATGATTGTCAAATACAAGTAATAATCGTAAATGCCGATTATAATATGGATAAACATTATGTTCAGTTCATCAGGCATATCCCTGGGCAAGTGGTTATATACAGATTGGGGCCATTTAATACCTGACAAAAATATATTTGGTAAAAACTGAAAAAAAACAGTTAACCTGTTTCAGACGGTTATAATTATTTTGAAAAAGATTCGCATATATCGCAAAAGAAATCTTATATACATGATTTATGAAAGTCTGTATTTTCTACCTGATGTTGAGTTTAATAAGGTGTTGCTTATTGCGCTAAAATTTATTAGTCACCACATTCCCAACCCCCAATTTTTGGCGCCCACATTTATCTCATATCTCATATTCGAAACCCTTTTATTGAATCGTTGGAAAGTTTCTATTATTTACTAGTGGCCGCCAGCGACTTCGTCTGCGTTTTCCATTTCTTCGCTCCTAATAGTTGCAGCGTGATGTTATATAACCTAAAGCTTTCCTCGATAAATTCAACACAATAATAATTTTTCAATTCTAACCAGTGGTTCCCGAGATTAACGCGTTCAAACAAACAAACAAACTCTTCAGCTTTATAATATTAGTATAGATTTTTGATTGCTACTTATTTTTATATTGTGGAGTTTTATGAACCCATTTTTCCTTACAATATAAATAATTTGAAAGGAATTGAATAAATAGAGCTTTATGTAACTTAATTAGTATGAGAAATAAATATTTTTTTACCATAACATTAAATGAGGTGACGGTAGTTTATTATTTTATATGTAACTGTAATTTTATCACTTGGCGAAGAAAATCATTGTATTTCATGTAAACATTAATATTTTTTTATTTATTAATGAAAAGTGTATTATTAAGATTATTACGATGAAATATTATTGTTACTATACTTTTCCACGAAGCTTTATTTGGATGTCAGTTTTTCAAAATGAAATTTTACCAAAGTCATTAATCATAGACGGTGTTTTGACATAGGTATAATGTGATTCTAGTAAATAGCATATTATTAATTAATCATACTTCATTACTTACCCTTCATTGTCGATGTTAGTAAATCACAATTTAAAAAAGTACACTTAAATTTCGGAATAGTGAGTAATTTAAAATTGGATGTTTTGTTGGTAGTTTATATTTCACTCATGTTGACATGGACCCTTTTAAACGAAATTAGATCATTGTAATACTAATCGGAAATATATCTAAGTTGAGTACGAATTTTAGCGGAAAACTTCTTTTATCTCGCGGAAAAGCGGCTCGCCCAGCTCACGCTCTGAATTCGACTGAAAGCCTGAAAATGAAAATCTTGCCGTAACGTTGTCATGTAACAACGTCATTGTAATTTAAACTCAAACGTGAGAAAATAAGAACTTCTCAGTTTGCGGTCACTCGATGTTTACATATAAGATTAGGAGTATTACGAGTTTGTTAGTTTTAACTCATGTTGACATTTGATGGTAGAATACGCCATGAAAATAAGTACTATTACGTAGTTCATAGAAAACTAGGTGTTAGCCCTGACTTTGCCCGCATAGCCATTTTAATTAGAGCATTCCCTCGTGTGTTATATTTAATTTAAAATGAAACAAAATGAGAAGAAATGCCAAAAAATGTCAATTTTAGAGGTAACTTTCCTTTTTGCTTTAGTTCTATCGTCAAGACAATACCACCTCAGTTGCTCAGATTCCAAGATAAGTAGCAAAATCTCCGTATCATGGAGTATGTAAGACAACGAAGATACCATAATAACCAGGCTGGAAAGAATATAGAAAGTCGCTATTCTACACTGACCCGACTGGGAATCGAACCCGGGACTTTCAGAAATGGCGATGCCCTTGAAAACTGGCGTGTGAGCTATGGAGATTCATGTTGTGGCCCTTTTAGATATTAAATGTAGCTTGCTCATTTTGAATTACAATTATGAAATTAGACCTTTGATCAGTATTTTCTTTATTTCTTACAAACAAACAAGCAAACAAAAGAAACTTTTCCTTTTTATAATATCAGTATAGATTACTGTGAACGTGTATTTTATCAGATATATTGTATAGCTAATATAGCATATAAGGGTGTACAAAATTTGCCTATCTAGAATAAAAAAAAAAAAAAAAAAATATTACCACTTGATTTAAACTTTAATACATCGAGTTTAGAGTTTAAAATAACTGCGAGGATTTAGCATTATGAAAATAACTAATGTGCTGTTTTATTACTGGGACGATGTGCTTAGATAATATCTTTGAGACGATTTTCATGAATAACATTGGGAAGACTGAAAATACGAAGTTGATAATTTTTTCCTCGTATATTTTACAACTGTCCTTATAATGTAACACACTTGTCGAGTGTATCTACAGAACGGACCCTCTGTCTAGAGAACCTGAACTATTTATAGAGAGAAAGGAATACAAAAAATATGGACAGACTCATCTTTAGTGGAATCACCCAAACTTATCTTAATGGCTAAAAACAATAACTTACTAACAAATTTACCAATAATTAAACCGAGTAGCTCGGTGGTGTATTGGATAAGTGCCGCGGCCCGCGATCGTTGTCGTTAATCAAATTTCGCAAGGGTCGGTCACGGGATGGGTGACCAAAAAATTATTATCTCGAGCTCTCTGTGCTTTGGAAGGCACGTTAAGCCGTTGGTGCCAGCTGCATTTGCAGTCGTTTATACCCTCCAATCTGCATTGGGCCAGCGTGGTGGGTCATGGCCCATCCTCCTTAACCATCAATAAGGAAGGCCTGAGGCCCTGCATTGGGGACGTAAAAGGGGTGATGATGATGATGAAAAACAATTAAACAACAAACTTATAAAAGAGACAATAACTAACCCATGTTCTAACTTTTACAATCTTAATGGTTAGGGCCTACAATAAAGTTCAATTGTACAATAAAAAAGGTTACCTACATACAAAGAAAGTGGCTTAACGATAATAGTAGGAAAGAACAATTAAAAGGTATTGTGCAAAAAGAAGTAATTCGCCTTAATGTTTTTGGGATATCTTGATGGCGTCAAGATGTCCGGCAATAAGGAGTCGTTGGGGTATGTTAGGAATGCAGGGTTTTTGCCTACCATAAACCCTGCATGCAGCCGCGGATTGATAGGTGTTGATGACTAAAACGACATAGACTAGATCCTCCTTAAACATCCATAAGAAAGGCTTGAGCCCCTGCAGTGGGGACGTATAAAGGGCTGATGATATGATGACTAAAAATTGAGCCAAAAACAAAAGGAGCTCAACATAATAAATTTTTGGCCACCCAACCTACGACCGGTTTTTATTAAAGTTGCTTAAACTTGCGTTTCGCAGACTGAGCGCAATTAAAGACGCTATCGAGCTTTATGAAGTAATAATAATAACGAAATTAGGTTACCTAAACTGCTTAGAGTGAAGATAGTAAAGTTTCCTTTATGTTAATATATTTTTTATTTATTATCATTGATAATTTTTAAGTGATTTAAAAAAATAAAAGTCACAGGAAAGACTTTTTTATATTTGAAATACAAAGCTACGCTAGAAAGCAAATACGTAGCAAATCTGGAAAAAGCTTTAAATTAAAACAAAGGAATTCTTACATCTTTACAAGAACGGTAATTCTTAATAGGGAAATACGTTTTTGTTAAATAACTTTTTTTTCTGTTCTGAAGATCAATTTTTTGGATTCTGGAAGAACTACATAAGTATAGTATCAAATAACAGATGGGAAATAACCTATACTAAGGACACTACAGATGTTTAAGTTCAGAATCGACTTAGTTAAAAAAATCACGTCATACGGTCTCAATAAATTCTTCTTGAGACGGGTCAACTCCCTTTTGTTATTATATTCTTGACTGTTTCGTTGTAAAGACAAGTATCGTCAATCTGACGCCAATTTTTTACTTCAATATGTTGGAGTTTTGTTAATAATGTTATATTTTGCTTATAATTTCTAATGTATTCAACGTTTTCTTTGATTTATTTTTAATGTTTTACCTTAGTCTTAAACTAATTTGAATATATACAAAGGAAAACTGATTTAAATTTGTAATTGACTAACATATCAACACAGTTCACTCTCCTTCAAGCCATATTTCAATATTCTATCAGCGAGATTGCGTAAACTCAATTATATTTTTAAGTCTCTTAGGTCAATAACTGAATCATCGTTTCTTAGATCTGTTTACTTTCCCTATGTCAATTTCTGATCCTTTATTGTATCACATCATGGTAATGCTCCTAAATCTAGTATGATTATACTGGAACGTGCCCAACATGCTGTACTTAAAGTAGTTACCTTCAAATCATCTCTATTTACAACAGATGCCCTCTATTCATTCTGCAAAGTTTTGTCCGTACGGAAACTATTCATGTTGTACACATTATTGCACCAACATTCAAAGTTAAGATTTGATCTCGATGTTACCAAATTCCGTTATAAACGAATAGTCTAGGGTCGACTTTTTCGTAAATCCTTTAGCCATAGATTCCTACCATTTCCGAGTCCTTTATTTTATAATTATATCAATAGATTTATTATTATATATCTTTTAAATACTAGACAGCTCAAATATATACTTTAACAATGGCTTCCCCATTGTCTTATGAGGAGACACAAGAGTTACTTCACATCAAGAAAGCTTTTATGAATTTTATAAAAATATAATTATTATAGAATATTTTTAAGTAAGTATTTAAGCAATATCGTTCTCTGTAATTTTGCAAAATTATATATACTTATATTATTTTTATCAACGGAAGTTTATGGGTTCCTATGTTACAGGGTCCTCATATTTTAAGTTCCCACAGGTCTACACAACTGTATATTTAAGGACTTCACCTGTTATGCAATTCCAAAATGTCTTTTTCTTGGTAAATAAAATTTGATTAGAGCCTTACAGTTTTGCAATGTACTTCATTTTATATTGTAAGTAAGCATTAAGAAAAGATTTTTGAAATCCCGTTCCTTATAAAGGTAAAATTGAGAGGTTAAGTTTGTATGAAATCACGTTTGAAGCTAAATTGACAAAAATTAATATATTTCGCCCCCAGCTTATAAATTAAGAATGACGTAATTAAGATTTCAGAAAATTCTACCTTTAAGAGAGGGAAAGGGGTGGCAATATTTGTATTTTCATATTTATTAATTTTTGAGTAGAAAGCTTGTAAGTGTACAATTTGTAAGACTATTAACCGAAAAGTTTTTTAAATAAAAGATATTATGTTCTGATGTATTTTTACACCGCACGATTTTATGAGTCGAATGAATCTAAACGAGCGAAGACGCTCTTTTATAAAGAGTTCTAGCCACCATGTGCTTTTCAGTGCAATAAACAAATGTAATAATAAAGGAACAATGCATTACAAAACAAAAATACTAAGTCGTTGAGTACAATGGAACGAAACTTACAATTATTTTTACAACTAAACACATGTAAGGCAATAACAATAAACACGAAAGATTCCATAGTAACAAGCGTAGATTAACAAAAAAAAAAACCTTGTTTTCTATAGTGTTTGTAAAAATGTACAAACTAATATTTGCTGTTTTTGAAAATGTGCTATATCTCAAAAAACTGTTTACTATATCAGGTTCAAATATAACAATTTCTTCAAAATTTTTCATTGTTTTTTTTTATTAATTCTACTCACTCTGAGCATAAATAAATTTAGGAATCTCAAATGCCATTTTCGAAGAATAGGCACGTATATTGGATGCGCACAGGTTTGGTGATTTATTTGTTTTCTCTCCATGTGAAGAAACCGCTTAATTTTTAAAATTATGTATACAAAGGTGTGTAGACAACATTTTTTAAATATTTTCATTTCATAGATATACATGAAATATATCTAAAAATATCACTCAGTAAATAAATTCAAATCTAAAAATAAATTTAATGTTTAAAATTTCCCGCAAAATGCCACTTCTGTCATGACGTCGCTATGACGTCAGGCCCCTCTAAAGCTAATATCGTTATGCATAAGGTTGAATTCTCTAAGTTCTGATAAGAGTAAGAAAGGCGTGACGTCACGAGTTCTTTGCGGTCACGTCGCACGGTGGGCAGAATCGGTCGTTATCGGATCAAAAATTTATAACTTCATGATTTTTTGTAGTACCGCAATGAAATTTGGTACAAATATTCAGTTATATGTCATAGAAGTAAAAAAAATGGAAAAACACAAAAATAAAATGGTAAAAAAAAATAATTCCAAAAGAAAGACAAGTTTTTGATGACTAAAAAGGCTAAAACTATGGTTAAATAGAACTACCCAATTAATAAAAAATACAAAATAATTT